TTTCTTGCCACAAGATCGATAGTGATTTCCAATGTGGTCTCTTGTTTTTTCTTTCTATTTTACCACTTGAAAAACAAAGCCAGTAATTAGGCTTGGCTTTCTTGTGTTTTCATTATATGTTTGTTTGTTCCCTTTTATTAACCACAAATCAGAATTATAAGTTTGTTTCAAGAGAAGTCATTATCATCTGGACCTTGCTGATAAGTCCTACTCATATTGTCACAACTCTCCTTTTCCGGTCAACTTGTAGAGTATTTTAAGGTTAATCTTATTTTTTCCAGATTTTTATTGAAGAATTTCAAGTTTTGCAGCAGATAGTAGTGTACTTTTTGGTAGATTTTTTTAATTTTGTTAGAGAAATTTCTCTAAAAAATAAAGTAAATCTATAGTGAAATGTTGGGGGAGCGCATATTGAACTTGTAGAGGATGTATTTAAACATGGTCTTGCACTCTTGCTATATGTAAACTACAAAAATCGTAGTCTTTTTGGGTGCCCATGAGGCCCATTTGGGACCCATTGTAGGTCCAAATCCCCCTTAAGGACTACAATGTGTGTTCTGCAAAGGAAGGCCAAGGTTAGAGGGGAAGAAAATAAGTGGCTAAGTGAATTGACTTCAGCCAAGTAAGTACTTAGTAAGTAATTAATCTTATTTAATGATTAGTCATAGACCAAATTTGCCACTTAAAATTCAGTTTAAAACTCTAGCTTGAACTTCTTTTGCAAAGTGAAACATACGATGTCTAATGGAAGTTGTGCTGGACTATTACAAAGGTAGGTGCTACTTTAAGGATGATATTACACTTTCAGAGCTCTTAACTATTCTCTGTTCTTCAGTAAATGTAGCCTTGCGATAACCAGTAACTCCAGCAAATTTCTCTCCATCTAAAGCTTACTCTTGATTCTTGCAAGCAGCGGCTTCAAATTTATGCATAGTTGTAATCGACAATGATGAAGGATGGTATTAAGTTGTACCATTTCTGCTAATACTTTGATGTATTAGTAGTTTTACCCTGAGATATGTCTATGAACAAAAACTGTTGTGCATGTGAGCGTGCGCATGTCTGTGATGATTGTTTCATTAAAATTACCTAGTGGGAGAGTAATATCTGATGAGAATTAAGTACGGATGAACATTGAAAGGGAAAGATATATTGTTCTTGCTTCTGTTTGCATTATATAGGCTTATAGTATTTTACTCCAGTGGCTGTACAATCCATGACAGATTCTATGTAAACTTTTTACATTGCTTCAAAGTAACTTCTTAAAGACTCCACTTCTCGCGGAAAAAAAAAAACTTAAAGACTGTACATCATCTCTCCTTCCCTGTTATATCTTTCCTGTTCCTCTTGCTTTGTTGAATCTTGTGATTGTACTCGGTGGTAACAGAAATTGACAGGATTTAGAGGCCTTTAGTAGACATATAAAGACTGCTACAGAGGCTACGTCTTTTGCCCCTTTCAGATAATTGAAACTTGAAAGATTGTGTGAAGTTTTAGACATCATCATGTCACCTCTTTACAGGAATCAATCCGACAAGTTAGTCTCTTATTTTGACCAAAGTAATGCATACAGCTTGCCTTGTAGTACTAATGATGGTTCCTCTTATCATCCATTTTTTGTTGATTAAATTTGTGAGCTTCCATAGATCTTCTGATCGCAATAAGCTGCTTACAAGTACCTGGTATTTTTGAAGAACATCTTGATTAACTCCTCTAAGTGTAGTTTGTTTGTTTGGCATTAGGTGGTAATCTACATGAGTTCTCACCTGCTAGAATGCAAATCACTTTTGAGTGTTCTGTTACTTTAGGATAAGATTTGAGCAGAATTTGACTTAATCAGTTAACAAACTACATCCTGTTACATCTAAACATTCATACTATAACAGTTCACAAATAGATATCAATGCAACATCTTAGAAACTCGACCTCTCCCTCCCCACTAAACCTCAATCCTCTTCCTTTTGCTTTATTGAATCTTGCAACTCTTCTTTTTGGTAACAGAAACTGACATGATTTAAATGCCTTTACTAAATAGATACATGCATGGGACTGCCAGCGCAATGTCTTCCTCCTTTCAGATAGTTGAAAGATAGCATCTGAAATGTTCTGCAATCGTCAAATTACCTCTCTGTAGGAATCAATTGTGCATCTCTGTGTCTTGTTTACAAAGGAGTAATGCTTAGAACTTGCCTTGCGGCGCTAATGAATGGCTCATGTTGTCTGCAACATTTTATGAATTGTTTTTGTGTGTTGCCGTAGAAAATTCAAAATCCTGCGGATAAGTACCTTATTATGTCTGAAGAACTCCTTGATTGTCTCTTAACCATAGTTTGTCAGTAGGTAATAATCTGCATGAGTTCTCACTTGCTAGAACGAATTACTTTAGTGTTCTGTTATTCTAGGATGAGACTTGAGCAGGATTGAATCACACACTTAACAAGATTCACCCTATACTCTCTAAACATGCATACTGCAACAAATATGAAAAGCAAAACCTTATTGTGGTATTGGGTGCAGGTCTGGGAAGTGCATTTGTGGAAAACTAGTTCCTCAAGCTCAGAGAATAGGTCCTTGATGGCATCATCCAAGCTTACACTTGTATGCAACCTTGCAGAAAATACCAAAGATGCTCAAAAGTATGTCAAGCATGCCAAGTTGTGACTCTTTTGTGGTCATACTTTCTAGAATCAATTATCAACAATGCATAAGTATTGGAATTATGTAGAGTTATGCAAAACCTTTTCTCTTTTTTTTCGGGTATTTTGCATAATACAAAGTGATGGTCCTTTACACGTAGTTCAGTTTGTCCCGAAATATTTGTCAAATAAGTACCACTAAATGTATGGTATTGAGCTCTCTCATTTATTGGATAATTTTACGAGAAATTATGCTTTTACACTAGCATTGCTTCTTATTTTATTAAAACAAGTCTACTTTTTGACCATGTAAATACTGTTTCCAGACTGGACGATGCATCATCTTCTAAGGAACTTGATTTCTAAGTATCCCAATCCCCTTATCAAACTAGAAGAAGTGGTGATGCTGTAACCTGCCAGGACTAGGAAAGATTGTGTGCCTCGGTGGAACTTAAAATTAAAAGGTACATGTGTGTAGCTTTAGAGGTAAAATAATGAGGTGCATAGCTTAAATTAAATTAATGGTGTATGACAAGATATACACAAAAATCTAGTCAAACCTGCTTTGATCGTCCTGAATGATAGGAAATATATGTATTTGGATACAAGATTATTTAAAATATTATTCAAAATAATGATAGTGGTAATATTATGATATAAGATATCTGAGATAAGAAGTTGATCGAAAAACATGATACAAACAAAATAGTGTTTAGAAGAATTTGGTGTCTTGTTTAAAGGCAATGGTACTAGCAATTGCCAAGGATAATAATTTACATTTAGACTTATTTGTCTCTTGTAAACATGGTTCAAAGTCGCGGTCGCGACCTGGACCGTTCCACATCGGTCTCAGCATATCGGTTGTGGTCTCAGTGAGACGCAAATTTTTGAAATATTTAATATTCTAAAAATTATAAAAAATATGATAAACAAAAATAATTAAAAATTAGTAAAAATAATAAAAATTTGAATTGACTTTGGATGATTCGGAGTGATTCGATCGTTTCAACCCTTCATGGTGACGTCTCAGCGAGTCGAGTATCTCGAAATCGTATCATTCCAGTATCGTATCGAAAGGGTCCGAGACAGTGACGACTCTGCCGAGACTTTGAACTATGCTTGAAAATGGCTCATCAGTTGAAAGCGCAAGGTATTGCCGGCCTTTGAATTAGATACAACTCTTTCTTGTTCTGTTTGCCATTGGACTCTTAACTAGAATTATACATTTGACTGAATAATCCTAGAATTTCATTCCATGCTAATAGCTCAAAGCCATATATGATGGCACATTTCATTTGATTGCATTAGCTAGAAGGAGAACCATTTGATTGCATTAGTATCAGAGAGATTTTAAATGATCCTGCAGCACCATTTGGCTTTGAGATTGAACATGTGTCGCCTCATAAAATCTTTGGCCGCCTTCAAGCCACGCCCATTTGTTGTTAGGTTCACTGCAAATTCAGTTAAATTTGATGTTAGCCATTTTTCTTGATGCAAAACAGGATCATGATTAGAACTGTTGAATCTGTGCTTCTTGTCTTTTGCTTCATTGGGATAATATTCATCAGGAATCTAGACTGTGATAGAAAAGGTAAGGAAAATGTTTCTAAAAACAATCAAAAAATTAGTGGGCGGTTGACTATTTTGTTCCCTTTACTTTTCTTGTTTTTTTTTGTTGGGGGGGGGGGGAGGTTAACATTTTTTTTTGTACGCTCCATACTTTTATTGATAAACTATTGAGTTTACACAAAGAGTGGGGGCTCCCCATACCAATTTACATCATAAATTGAACGGTAATCCAACTCTATTGTTATTTACAAAAGAATGGGATCCAATGCAACAAGGGAAACTCCTAATTCCAAGCATAGCTCCAGATTTTGCTGAAGCCTAGGCATAGGTCTCCATCCTAGCACAATGCTGCAAGTCTCTCTAATTACTGGAAATGGATCAGTATGACCGTCTCTGAGCAGTTAATGGCCATGATTTGGCCAAAAATTTTGTGCGGTTCAGATAATAAGTTGTACATCGATTTTCACATCGTGTGTGGAACCCACAAAATTTTATACTAAAGTTACACGTTGTGCAAATAAAATTACGCCGTGTGTAACTAAAGTTACACGCGGTTAAAAATGACCAAAATCGTTGGGGACGATTTGTCCCTAATTACTTGATTGCTGACAACAGAGGGAGAAATTTGAAGGCCACTAAATATCTTCTTTGTTCCTACCTCTCCAGACAGCATAAAGTGTAGCAACAGAAGCTACACGTTTCACACAAGAAGCAAACATCCCTTGAGAGCCATAGTTGACCATCCATTGTATCTCCTCACTCTAGCCTTAGGATCTCTATTTATCTGGCATTTCCTCAGAACACACGACCAAACAGAGGCTGTAAAAGGACAGAGAAAGAACAAGTGTTCAATGGATTCATAGTAGCAGAACTATATGATTTTAAACTCGGACTAGATCGGCTGGTCTGACCAGTCAAATTGGGAGCCAATCAAGTGTTCAGTCCGAGTTATTCTAAAAAATTGGATAGATAAAAACTCGGTCAAACTAAGCCAAAAATCAGATTTGACTAGGTTTGACCGGAAAAACCGGAGAACCGGTTTGGTGTTAAAGTTTTTTTTTAAGGTCAAAGTATTTTCAATATTATGTTTTGACCTCTAGATTGTTAAAAATTATTAATATATCTCAAATATTTTATATTTTATAAATGATGTCCTAAAGTTTGGTGTTATTTTTCAATCAAGTCCATAATTTTAATTCTAAACGTATTAATATTCATTGAATAATATAAATTGCTACTTAATCGTTCTAATTTCTTTTTATTTTCTTGCTAAATATATTTGAAACATCAAATATATATGAATATATCTTCATTAATATTAACATGCATTTAGGTATTTTACATACCATATTTTAATTTTTAAATAATTTTTATTTATAACGTCATTCGATTCAACTCCGATCGAATCCATTGACCCCTAACCCCTGAACTCGATCGAGTCGATACCCTGTCTGAGCCTAGAAACATAATAGCAAAACACAGAGTGCAGTAGGGGTCTATTGTCACCCCCATGCTAGTAGTCTATCCTTAGTTGATAACCTATTTTGACACGGCAACCACAGAATAAAAGAAAAATGAAAAATGAAAGAAAAATGGAAAAGTAATTTTGGATCATATGTGTTTAGATTTTTTTGAAGAAAAATTATATTGTAGAAACAATATACTATATCGATGTTTGGATTGTAAGAACCCGTTTAAAAAACGTAAATTTGAGAATATATACTGCTGAAAAATATGCTGTAGCAATGAGAAAAAAGTTCGAATTTCTTCTACAACCGTTTAAAGTATTGCATGGGGACGCGGGGCTGGAGCGGTTGTCAGAACAACTGCTCCGGAAGGTGTAACACCATTTGCACATGGTGTAACATCATCTGTACAAGGTGTAACAATAGAACAACAGCGAGTAACAATAGAACAATATTTTTGTGGGTCCCACACGACGTGAAAATCGAGTTACAAGACGTGATCTGAGCCGTACAAATTTTTGAGGTCTCATCCAGGCCGTGAACTGCCTGGGACGGTTGTCAGAGACAAACGTCCAGGCCCCTGGACTGACAACCGTCTAGGCCCCTCGTCCATTGCATGGAGGGTTGTCAGCATTGATAGCCGAGGGACTGGGGAGCCTGGGAGCCTACTTAGCCAACGGGAGACGGAGGATTGCAGGAATTCAACTCAGCATTAGCCATCTCAATAGTGCACAGATTGGTGACTTGGTTCATGCTGAGGCAACCTCTATCAGTGTTGGCAAAACTATTCAGGTACTTTGCTACCATTTTTTTTTCCTTGACTTGATGCACCAAATATAATTTACATTTTGTCACAATTATTCTTAGGTATTAACTTGTTACACTTGATGTCCTTTTCATGATTACTACGAAATTAAAGATGTTAATTGTAATTATAAATTACTTGGTGCAGGTATGGGAAGTGATGTTCTGGAAGGCTAGTTCCTAAAACTCTTAAGAACAAAGCTTTGATAGCATCATCAAGAGTTACAATTATGTGCAAAGTTTCAGAAAATGCTAAAGATGGTGATGTAACTCTTAAGCTTGCAAAATTATGAGTTGTACTTGCCTTGAACCAACAATAAAACCAGATATTATGCCAATTTATGCACATGCAGTTTGCACATTTTATTTTCTTTGTATGTAGTAGAATTGACTAAAGTTGGTACTTAACTAAAGTGAAAACCTACCTCAAAAACTATTTTTTGAAATAGATATTGAATATTGAAGATGGTCAAGCATACCGAGTAAGATTGCCTTAAAATTCTCGCTTGAGGTGAACTCTATCTTACTATATAACATACGAGTTATATTCATGTCTGTCTTACCATGTAATTAATATATGAGTTATATTCATGTTTGTTGATATTTGTCTGGAACTAGTTTGAACTCAAACAATTTTATTGAAATCAAAGCTAAAACTAAGCAAGCTCGAACTCAATTAGAGGCTTCAATACACTTCCAATCGTAAACAGTAGGCTAGATTTCGAAACCATTGCTCTATCCGGTGGTCAACGGTGGGGTGCAGTTCATTTATTTATTTTTACACTAAGTCAAGACTATTCAAAAATTTGGGAGAGCCCAATCGAGGGGTTAAAGCCTAAAGGGGAAGAAATCTATCTCTTGGCCAATGGCCATAGAAGTGTACTACTCGGCCCTTTATATTTTTTAACCCAAAGGGATTCAAAAGTTTCTCCTTTACATGAACTAGGCAGAATTTGAACTCTACCCTAACCTAGTGCGCAGCAGAACCTATGAGACTCTTTCTAATTCTAGCCAACCTACCTGAAGCGAGTTTGTTAGTAATTTATTTTTTGTCGTGATTCTTATTAATTAGCAGAAAAATGGAGCTTCATCAGATGATGCAGCAAGGCCACAGGTCAATTTCGGTTGTCTAGTTTTGCCGTTATAAAATTTAGTTAGGTACTGCAAATAGAAGAGTCCTGCCTTTTTGTTTCACCTAGGCCTATCAATCGGGCCTAATCAGCCGGACTTTCATAAGTTTCAGGTTCATAAATGTGAATCTCATATTCAACTCACATAATATTCGGGTTGTGAGCCTTAATCGGGCATAGCCCAAGCTCACTTAGTGCTCCTTAATTTTCTTAATATAATTACTATAACTATTAAGTTGTAAAACTAATTTAACATTTACAAAACTATAATATTAAAACCAAATATGAACAAATAATAGTTCTTAAAAAGTATATAAACCAAAACTTTTTCAACAATATTTATATTTAATTCGTTCAAAATGCATGAAAAATAGTAATGAAACATGCGATAATAAGCCAATACATCTTTAAAAGTTGAAACTTTTTTTATAATCTTGTGATTTGAATCCAAACATGTTTGATGATTTGTGTTTGTAGATCAAAAAGAAATCAAACAATATTATGCTAGCACAAAAATTTATTCAACCAATAAGAAAAGTTAGAGATTCAGTGGTGCATTATTAATATTGGCTATCAAGAAAGATCATGGAAGAGTCTATAGATATATTTTTATATTTTGTAATATATATATCAATAAGAAAAGTTAGAGATTCAATTGTGCATTACTAATATTGGCTCTCAAGAAAGATCATGGAAGAGTCTTTAGATATATTTTTATATTTTGTAATATATATATATATATATTTAGTATTTAATAATAATATATTAGACATATAATTATTCATAATATAAAAATATAAATATTACATATATATAGATAATTAAAGGGCCGGGCTTATATCGGATTTGAGCTTAATAGGGCTCAAGCTTGGCTCATATTTAATTCGGACTTAATTTTTAGGCTCAAACTTAGACCGGCTCACAAAAATATCGGATTCATCGGGCTTTTTGTAGGACCGAACAAGCCGAGTTCGGGCTGGTCCAGCCCCATTGACAGTCCTAGTTTCACCTTCTTCCTTATTCCTTCTTTATATGCCCTATAAATTTCATAGAGTTCATACCGAGCGATGTGAATAAAGATGCCACGTAAATTTTAATTGGCAGAAAAATGCTAGAAGCATCACTTAGTTCAAATGGAGAGAGAAGTGAGAATTAATTAGAATGCGTATCTATGTCTTTTGTTTTGGTCTTCACCAGAATGATGGGAATTTCATAAATAAGCCAAATTCTCAGGGACGAGTAAAATATATACAACAAGCTGAAATTCAGAGCGGAAATTAGAGAATGGAAAGAAGAGCTTTGAATGCTGTTGCATCATGACTCAGCTATTGTAATGGAAGATGCCTCTGGTGATCTTGAAGGAGAACCAAAGAAGGGTTTTGGAGGGAACTCCAAGGCCTCCAAGCTACCTTCCAGCATTTCTATCACCTTGCTTACTGCTGGTCTTTGCGATGGATCAGCCTGTATGCACCATAAACCCACTAGGACCATCTTTCGTGCAATTTCATCTTCTTCAGGAGTCATTACACCTTTCAATTTGAAGTCCTTTTCAAGTATCATATGCTGATACGCCCAGTGAGGAAAGTATATTTCACTTGTATGACTTGCTTTAACACTGACGTTCTTTCTTCCTCCAACCATTTCCATAAGCATCATTCCATAGCTGTAGACATCGGACTTGGGCGAAACAACTCCAAAGTTTCTACAGATTACTTCTGGGGCAATATAACCAACCGTTCCCCTCGCTTCTAGCATTGACACGACACTTTCTTTCCTGGAGCACAGCTTTGCCAAACCAAAATCAGAAATTTTAGGACAAAAGTCGTCATCAAGAAGTATATTGTGAGGTTTAATGTCAAAGTGCAAAATCCGCATGGTGCACCCTCTATGCAGGTATTCAAGTCCTCGAGCTATCCCCAATGCAATTTGATAAAGTTTTGCCCATCCCAGGTGACCATCAGTCTTTGACGTTGTTTCACCATGTATATATCTCTCCAAAGATCCATTAGGCATGAATTCATAGATGAGAGCCCTTTTCTGACCTTCAAAGCAGAATCCTAATAAAGCAACAATGTTAACATGGGATGTTCTGCTAATGCTTGCGACCTCATTGATGAATTCCTCTCCACTTCCTTTGGATGTATTCAGAATCTTTACTGCAACAGGACGGCCGGCAAAAAGATTTCCTTTGTAAACTTTCCCATATCCACCTTCGCCGAGTTTATCTTTAAAGGAGTTAGTCATTCTCTTGATATCGGAATAGCTGTATCTTCTTGGGGCAAGGGATCCATATTGCTTGATGGCGGCTTCAAGGATCAGATTTTCTTTTGATGTCCTCTTAAATAATAGTAAGATAGACCTATAAGCTGGTTTCTTGTTTATGATGCGGTGAATTACTACAGAGATGATTATTATTGTTGTCAGTAGTACTCCTGCTGCTGAAATTCCTGTAATATTATTTTCGCATAAAAGAAATACCATCACATGAAAACCGAATCACTTAATCATAATCAGCATTAATAGAACTAAATTATGGAGAATAGTATCATACCTATTACATTTCTCAGCCTTTGTGAACGATTCTTACCTGCAGAATAACCCCCGTATCAACAGAAATATGAATCAGATGAAGAAATAGTTTTTCACTACTTTGAACTTTCTACCCTTCCATTTTTGGCAGTTCACATTACAAAATAATTCCAGCTTGTCAGGTTAATTTCGCTGGTAACGTACTTTCGATGGTATAGGAATAAAACTATCTAATTATGCAAATGCGGAAATTCTTCTTAAGATAAAAGAAAATCAATTGAACCTAAGAGAATTGCCAGGAAAGTTACACAACAGGCAGGCATATTGGAAATAAATCATTTTGACTAGCTCCGACACATTCGGCAGGGTTCAGGGTTAAGAATTAAGTCCATAAGGTTTGGTATAGCAACAAAAGGATTGATTTGATTAGTGATGTCAGTATTGACCATGCAGTATACTAGGGTAAGCAAATGGTACAAATTTGGTAATTCGATTAGTTGAATTCAGTGAATTCAGTTATTTGACTTATAGAAATTTAAATCCCTTTCAATTTCGAATTGGCTATAACCGAATTTATTTCGCAACCGATTTCGAATTCGGAAATAGTAATGAATTCGGTTAACCGAATTTATTTATAAAAAAAAATGATTTTTAAAAATTATTACTGATTTGATCCCTAAATTTATTCATAATTTAACACATTACTTATGTTCTAATCATTTTGTAGTTTAATTTAATTAGCATTTATTTGATCACTTATACCTAGAATCCTTAGTCTATGATTTAAGGAACACATAAAAAGTGATTAATTTAAACTAGAATAAACCTTAAACTGTACAATGATTAATGATAATTTATGAATTTATAATTTACAATGATTAATAATAAGTAATATTAGTTACAAACTTACAAATTACAATGATTAGTGATAAGTTATATTAGTTACAAACTTATAATTTATTTCAAATCAAAATAAAACTTATTTACTTACATATGTTATTGTGAAAGTCAATATACTAATACAGTAATTTGTAACTCATATGCATTCACTTACACTGCTTAGTTGTCTTGTCATACTTAAAACCTTAAGATTAGTGAATAGAGAATATGAATTTTTATGTTAAATATGTAATATAAATTTAGAGCATACTAATACTTGCAAGTTGCAGGTTACGCATTCAAATATTCAATAATTCGAACATGAATGATGTATCAAATTACCAATATCTAAATTCTAATTACTAATTATGTTTATTGTTTAATATTTAGTATTATACATATATGTATTAATTATTATCTAATTCTAGTCATGTTACTCATGTATAAAATAATAAGTATTATAGTTATGTTTTATTGTTATGTATTACTATATATTTGTATTATTATAGTCATATAACAATTAAAAAATACTAAAATAATATATTGTACATTATTATATATTATTATTATTATAAGTACATGATAATACCATATACTAACAATTATTAATAGCATTTATCTATATAATATAATAATATATTAGTAGTATATACTAATACTAAATAGCATTTATCTATATATTATATAATTTTATAAACTAATTTGGTATTCGAATACGGTAATGCGGTACCCTATTTCATTTTACCGAATTTGAATGCAAAATCGATTAGTATCAAATTCATAATTTCATTACCTATTTCATACCATATTAAAATTCGATGAATTCGGCACGTACCGAATTTGTATCAAATTACCAAATACCCGACTTCAAATTATCAAATTGAATTTGAATTCGATTATGAATTCGATATGTACCGAATTTGCTCACCCCTACAGTACACATGTATCAGCAATCATATTTGTAAGGAATGTGCAAAAGATTTTCTATTGAATGCAAAACTCTTCCCTGCTTACCTTCATCACAGGTTTTTAGGTGTTTATGGTCATCACAGTAACACACAAATTCATTGTCATAAGAACCGCACTCCCCTCCACTACTCCTGCATTTGCTGCAACTGTCTCCATCCCACTGCAGAACGAATCCTTTCTTCAATACATCGGTATAATTCATGCTTAACAATCTTTTCAGGGAATCAATAGTTACTGGTGCACTAACTGGAGGTTGACATGACAGTTCCGAATGGTTCCTGCCGTCCAGGAGTTCGGTATGAAAAACAGCAAAAGCATGATGGCTAACATTACTGGCACAATCCACAGCATATGTCTCTTCTTGATACGGCTCAGTGCAATTGTAGAAGAAGAAAAGGTCCACAATTTCAGGGCCGTAGCAGAATGGAGTTCCTCCAGTGCTAAAATTATGTTGAGGGGTTGGACATCTATTACCAACATCATACAACTCAGCTTGAGATAGCAAAAGGGAATTATTCATGTAAAATATATCCCTGATGATATAATCATCATCAGAGATCTTTAAGATGGGGTTCTTGTCCCTGCAGGTGATATTGAACGTTGGTGAGCCACAATATGACTCTTGCCTGCCTGGAATCCAAAAGGGATACACTATGTTCAATCCATTCCCACAGCTCTGAGGCATGCAATCGCTTGAATTTGTGTAAAAGCATACAATTCCATCCACCAAGATAGTGAAGAGAATGGCTGTAATTTGAATATGATGATAAATCTTGTACAACAATTTGTGATCCATTACTGTGGAAAGAAAGAAAATAGCAGAAGAGAGCTAAGGGACGAAAGGCACTGGTCACTGGTGTAAGGAAGTAATATTGGCATCACAATTAAAAGAGTAGCTGAATTGGTCAAATTTCAAATGGAATTGAGAGGTCTACGAGACTACGACCTTTGGTCTGGCGTGTCTTAGTATTTGGATTTGACATTTGGTCTTCAGAGTAAAAAGACAAATTTGCCCTCAGGACGACAGGACTTGAAGTGAAAACGCGTTGAAAATGGACCACTACCACCATGCAGATACATGTTGCCGTTTGACGCACAAAAAAAAAAAAAAAAAGGACCACCATGCAGATACAATTTTAGGCTGAAAATTTGTTATTGTTTTGGACTAGACTAGCCACAAAAATACTAGCTGATGCAAGCATGAAGGATATTCAATCTTAGCACTTTAAATTCCTATCCTTCATCTCACTAAATCTGAGTTGGAAAATTCTTTCGAGTAAAAGTATACATGATCCTAGCAAGGTTTTGTGTTGGCATAATTGAACTCAACTTCATAAGTATTAAAGTTTCCTAATTATAATCCAGACGTTCTTGTTCTTGTCAAATTTTAGTGGTTAATTTACTGATTTAAAGTAGAGAGCAATTATTTAGTAGTTTCTTGTCTTAATAGTTTCTAAATTATCAAGTCTTATGAACTATATATAGGGTGTTTTAGTAGTGTTAGAGTGAGAAGAAAATTATGAAAGACCAATGAAATTAAGTCTTGATTATTTATAAAGTGGCTAGATTTCATGCCAGTCTCAATATGTGAGTTGGACGTAGCTCATCTCTTTTTCCACGCATTTTTATATATGTCAAAAATATTTTTGCTATGTGTTTTTATGTGCTAATAGGTAGTATCAAAACCCTAGAATATCTGTACTTTGATCTGAGGAATTGTCAAAAGTAAGATTACAAGATTGATGTTGATAGAATTTTGAAGATTGAAAATTTGAAGAGGTGGAGTACTCGAATATCGAAAAAAAATTAGACCACTATTTTGACCTCGAGGTACTCAATAGTTTGACAATTAGGGAAAAAAAATGTTAGCCCTGATTGAGACAGAGATCCGAAAAGAAAAACCCTATCATGTTTTTGTTGGTATTGGACCATATAAAGGTTAGTTTAAAAGTGGAATTGTGGGCATAATTAAATCAAAATTAATTAATTACTGATGTTTCTTATTTATAATTTGAGAGTTCTTGTTCTAGTCATAATTTCTTCACCCATTATCAGTTAATATCTGATTATAGTTTGAGTAAAATAACTCAATCATAAACCTGTTCATCAATAGTCAACAAAATATATTCATAACAAACCCATATATAGAGTTTCTAATATCAAAAATAATTTAAAAGTAATTCATTGACAATAATAAGCAAATGATTTTGAATAATTATTTTGGTATTTTCATACAAAGTAGGCTTTTTAAAGATAGTTTTTAATTATGGTATATTTTCTATTTGATACAAAGGAACGTTCAACATAGTAAAGTTAATTAACTAAAAGCTATGACTTCCTTTTTTACTTCATATTTGCTCTATGTACCCTCATATTTATAAACTTTTTATCTCAGTGATTTCAAACTTGATGAATGCTAAAATCTAAACTATATTGGTATAACCACTTTTGATTTTTTTAATTCATATAATTATTGAAAACTAACTAATTAAAAAGGCAAGAAAGAATTTTTACAATTTTAAAAAACCAACATTCTAAAACTATGAAAAAGTTAGGAGTTTTAAATATTAGATTAGCTATTTTTGGGGGTGTTTTTAAAAAATTTTACTGTAGCAGAGTTTTTAGAGTATATTTTGGAATATTTAAGAGTAGTAGAGTTTTTAAAATATATTTTGGAATATTTTTTAAATATTAAAAAAAATTTAGACTACTTTTTAGAGTACCTTTTAGAGTACTTTTAAAATTTTTTTATAGTATTTAAAAAATTAGTTTTTAAAAAACAGAAGAATCCAAATAGAGCCACTTTTAGAATAATTATCTTGTATCATCTTCACACTTTTATTCAAATAAATTAGGGGCTGGCATCCCCACCCCATGGACGGGGTTTTGCCACAAAAAAAAAAAAAAAAAAAAATCTTGTACGCCCAAATTAATCACGGGGAACTTTTTTGGTCAACCTT